GGGGGGGGGGGGGGGGGGGGGGGGGGGGGGGGGGGGGGGGGGGGGGGGGGTGAAGAACGAATGGTGACTTAATCAGCGACTTTCATTGGTGTGCCACGGCTCTATGGGCTGGGGGCCAAAACATGACGAAGTACCGAAATTTGAATTTTGGGAGCAAAGGATGGTTCAAAGAAACAGACGGATCAGAACCCGAGAATGAATACCTGTACAATTTTGGGCACTACAGCCACTACTACTCCTGTTGGGCTGCTGGCAAGAAGCTAGGCTCAAACCTTGGCTATTTCGTCACGCTGTAGATCCAGGACGTGCGCCCTAGTCTCCCCCTCCAGCGCGAGAAACTCCTCGCGCTTGGTCAGCCACACTGCCGCAGCGTTCCTGTGGGCGTTGCTGACATTGACCTCGTTGGCCGAGCCCTCGGCGAGGTAGTTCTCGACGATGTCCGACAGCGCTCCGAACTGCTCGTCCGGGTCGCTCAGGCTCTCGTAGTTGATCGTCACGTCCACGAGGAAGTCGACGCTCTCGCCGCACAGAGACTCCTCGCAGAAGTTGATGAGCAGGCCTCGCAGGGTCTCGTTCCGGAGCATCTGGAGCACCCCCCACGTCTCCGGCTTTCCTTCGTCCCCCCAGCCCCCACCCCCCTTATCGGCCTGCTGCCTGTTGTGAAAGTGTTCCTCTTCCTCGTCTTCCCCCGAGTATATTTGCCGGGCGGCGTGGATTCCGTGGAGGGATCGATGACTACCCACCCCATAGAAAACCTTCAGCGGCCGGTAAAAGCTGTCAAGGAAGGTGCGTGTAAGGGGAAGTTATTTCTCACCGGAAAGCTTCCTCCCGACACTTATCAACAGGTTACGTCTCCTACATTCCCAGACAGGTCAAAAAGTATTCTGTTTTGGTGGGTCAAATGCCAAGGGGAGCGCGGTCGGCTACCCCCGACATCGCAGAAACTCGGAGACGCTGGAAACAAGAGTGCAGCGACTCAGCAGCGAACATAATATACTTCACCGCCGGGGGTTTACGAGCTATTGTTTTTTGCTTCTCATGCCACAGAACAATACCTTCGATCAGGTGGTGTACTCTTGTGAAGAAACGGGGGGGGGGGGGTTGTGTCAGGGCTATCGGGAATGCCGGTGACGGCCTGCTGCATACGGTCGTGAGTACCGTCGCTGCGAAGCTGACCGCTTGTACCGCAGTGTGCTCGTGAGACCGATAACGATGGACGCACCACACATCAGGGCCAATACTGTGGTATCGGCCCCCTTCCGAACTGCAGCCGTGTTCATGGAAACCTCAAGAGGCCACACGCTCCCGATATTACTATCAAAATACATGACAGTTGAGATCAGACGGAAGGAAGCGGCGTGGACGAGTTTCTGCGTCTTGGATCGCCTGGACGAAATGACAGCTCATCCCTTCCTCGCAAAACGCGAAGCACCGAGAAAAATCAAACCTTCATACACACGTGCCCAACACGTTATTTTGCTCTCGAGGAGCTCAAAAGGCTGGCGGTTTTCCTAATGTTGGTGATGTACTATTACTACCATGTAGGCGGTGGTCGACCGGTACACACCTGATGTACAGCACTGCCGAACATGCCCAAAGGTCGTTCACCGTTGGAGGAAACGTCTCGCCCAAATCGCCCCACCAGGTTGTATGTGCCAAGGAGGTGTGTACTATTCTTGTTGCTGTCGAACGCAGCCGCCAAGGAATAAAACAGCGAGCTATTAAGTATTTACAGGAACAAAGGGATTTTTGTGAAAACTACAGCACTCTAGGGCTGACAAAGATACGTCGCGGTTCGCCTTTAATGCCGTTTATTTGAAAATCGAGTAGGAAATGTTATCGGGCACCGCAAAGTGTGTCTCGACACCGAATGAGAGGCGCAGTCTATGCGTATCTACTCACGGGGATAGGAGGCACATGTTTTACTTTCTGATATTCCTTCTCTTCGTCTAACCTTTTCCCGTTTCTAACGTAGATGAATCCCGCACCCTGTGCTACTCTCATCTCTATCCCCAATTTGGGGTCGTACAGAAGAGGTGCTTCACCGAGTCTGCTCCCACACCCACGACCCGACGGTTGCATTCTTTTCGCCACAAGGCTCAGCAGTCCGGCACGTTGTCGACAAAGCCGAAAACTGCCGCAGTTATGTGCAGGTAATCCCCACGAAGACCAGCGACACTGCGCTTAGGGTTCTTCACCCTCACTTCCAGCAGTTTGGGTTTGCCGAGAGGAGCGGCGAAGCATAGCTCGAGCTGGTTGACATTGTCAAACCCGAACCCGTAAAAGAAAGCGGTGGCGAAGAGAGGGGCGGACAAATAGGCCCATGGTTGCGGCGCAGACACGGCTACCGTCCCCGCCTACCTGAAGTGATCGCCGTCGCCACGCACACATAGCAGATTTCGTCCCTGATCCCAAACGCGTCGTTGGTGTTTTTCAGCTTGTTCGCCATCGCCGCCATCGCCATCAGATACAGCAAGGTTGTCGGAAAGAAAAAGCTCCATCTTTCGTTGAAGAAGAGGCATTGGCCTGCGTTGCGTCTGGAATAGGGGCACCGGGGTGAGAGGCGTCACGGGGAGAGACGTTTCTCTCCAATGATCCCGAAAACTGCTTCTGCTCCACCACACACACACCTACGTAACCCCCAGAACCCCTGCAGATCAGTATCGAGCGCCGAGTACCCAAAACAGTGCTCATGATCATCTTCGAGCAAGCAGAAAATATCGAGCAATGACGGTCGATACTCGAGCGAATTTGCCCGTAACAACCTGTCACCGACTCCGTACGCATTCAGTATTATGTTATCGTACAACACAAGCTCGACTCGCTCTCCATGAAGTGAAAAATTCCTGCAGAAACAAGGGCGTGTGACCAGGATGCATGTAGGCATTCATTTTCCCACGGCACAGAACGATACACGCCAAGTCTAGCCACAGGAACAAGCGCACGGAAGCACCAAAGCAAACAGAACCATCTACCCGTCTCTCTGGCTGCACATGGCTCAAGCACCGGCTGCTTACCTTGCTCCAGAAAATCTGAGCTGGACTACAAGAGCGATCAAGCAACAGGGCACGAGGGCGGCGGCCATGGCTTTTCGCTGGACTGAAGGCTTGACTAGCCGCTGGAACTTGCGCCTCAGCTCCCTGTCATATACGACGACGAGTCTCGCCGCCCGCAGGAGGTATGCCGCGGATATCGTGCCGAACGAAATATCTGCAAAATACCATCCATGGAGCCGAGAGTAAGGGGGGCAAATACGTAGTTGGAAGAAGAAACGTGATTGTAAGACACGACAAGGCTGCATCCATGTACAGTTCAACGTCTAATTTGTTTGTAAGTCTAAGGGCTACCGTACAAACACTCTCGTGTTGGATATTGGTGAGCACATTGGCGAGATTAAGGCTCGGATCCCCGTGAGGAAATGGAAGAGGTATGTGAAGGAGCGCACATTGAATGCTTTCCGTACAATACCGGTGAGCTTGTGTGGCAATGCCGTCTAAACTATGTCTCGTAAGATTTCATTGACCGACGACCTGGTCTCTCAAAGGTCGCCAACATGTACGCGGCTTGAACAGTCCGAGCCAATTCTCTTTTGCCAGAACAAATGATGGTCGAATGCGCACACCATGCACACTTACATGAGGCCCAGATCGTGATGGTACATGGGAAGTTGGAGCCAATTACCTGCGCGAACACGCGTGGTGGGGAGGCGCATTATTGGGCGGTGTCGAGCACCTAACGACAATGTCTGCGCTCCACACGCAACGTTCCAACTTCGCTTTGTGCCCCACCTTGATCTCCTGGTTATATCCGCCCCCGTACACCGTACAAGACACGTTGATTACGTTAACTGTAACACATGCACTCTCATCGGCAACGTCGTGTACGTGCCAATCTGTATGTATGTGCGCTCTATCGGCAACGACATTTACGTGCCAACCTGTATTGTGCGCTGTAAAGCACCACGCGGTAGTAGTCGTACCGTCACAGCTAAATACTATGTGAGTGTTGGAAAATATTACCGTGTCTCACGACATCTATTTACGGCATTATCAATGTGAGGCTTGCTGTGGCGTATAGTTACCCCGGCCGTCATTTGCAGGAGAACCAAGGTGACGTGCGCCGCTCCGGCCAGGCAAAGCAGCACCGGCGATCTCGCGGCGATCTCGAAGCTTTGCTTGTGGCGCCAAACATCCCAAAGAAGACCAGCTCCCACGAGCACAATAAAAGTTGACGCATAAAAAAGGATACCTTTCACGAGCGCGCTCATTTCAAGAGAGTGACACCCAAAGGACGGGACAGCCTCGCAAATACACGCGAATAGCCGCTAGAACATGCGCGCGGGCGACCTCGTTTGGTCGGCGGAATGGAAAAAAATGAAAATGTGACAGTTTCGGATCACGCATCTGCCCACCTTGTATGTAGGAAGAGAATCTTATTTCCGCGCTCCCCGCTTTTTCTACGAGATTGTGCGTCAAGACAGCAGTAACGAACGCTCATCCACATCATGCACGTGAATGGGGGCGTGTCAAGCCTTCTAATATGTGACGCTCCAGAAGGCCGGCAGAACAAGCTATAATGTGGACGAAGTGGGTTGGCGTTACTCCGAACCAGGGGACATCGAGAAATATCCCCCCTAAAAAACAAAAAGGAGGAGAGCGGGAGACGGGAGGAGACAGACCCGAGACCGACAGACTGAGAGACAGCCAGACAGACGGAGGCACGGCCCTTAGCTCGTTCTTGACCGGCGGCGATTTCGCAGAGGAGGACACCATCGCAAGGAGGCAATCCTGATTCTCGTGGTTATTTGGTTCGTAGAGAGGTAACGCTGCAGCCGCGATGGCGAAGAAGCGATCGAGATCAAGGTCTCGGTCCAGATCGAGGGACCGCAAGAAGACCAAGGACAAGGGGAAGCGGGGCAGGTGCGCAAAACCGGGTAACCCAGCAGTACGAACACCGCTTAGCCACCTTTTACCCCCCTCAATCGTCTAGTCCCTCACCCTATGAGGTGACAATGAAGGCGCGACCTGCAATCAATTTGACAGACTGGTCATGATTTTGTGTTATATGGAAATTAATGCTGAGGGGTGCCCAGACACTCCCTCCTTCGAAACGTGAGAAGAGAGAGCACGCCGTGGTACAATGCATCAGCGGGATAACTACACCGTCGCGAGCAACAACCTTCTGCTGTACATTGGTTCTCCTGCAACGGCGAATGTGACTTGTTGTCTACAGAAGACAGGCCTGCATCGCGTGAGACACAGCAGTTTGTTTTCCGCCTTTGCCCAAACTGGCACTCGTAGACCTCGCACACCTGATCTTGGCGACTCCAGCCTGCCGCTCGTTACACTGCTGCTGTGTGTTGTGCAGATGCCATCACACACGTTCACTTGCCGTGTGAGATGACGTCCTTCCAAGCTGCAAATAGCAGAAGGGTTGGATCTACGCGATGCATTCATGTTCTTAGGCAAGCGCCTTTACGGTTGATGGCTCCCCCAGGTTAACGCTGTTGTACGATGCAAAATCCGTCATTTGTCAACTGCTGTCAAAGTACACGGAAGACTGCCTCCCGCGGCAGCACGACATAAACATGTGCGTCCGGCACATTGTACAGCAGTAGATCAAACGAAACACGAGTTACCATCGATGTTCCTGAAGTCGTACAATCGCACTACAATTCGTATGCGGAATTGGAAATGTGATAGTACATACAGCAAGTATATAGTATAGTGTATGGCAAATAAACACTTTCTTCACAACACACACACACCTCCGCAACCATTCATATGTGTGTAACCCCCCCCCCTG